AACTTTTCGTATTCCTTAAGTGTAATCATAAACCAATGTGCCTCCAGCCGATCAAACTCGTTATAGGTTAGGCACAGAGTCGGTACAACCAACAACACGGACAGTCATTTAAAATCAATCGAGAGAGAGAAAGATAGCGAAACCCACGGAGTGTCTCGCGAAGTAATCTCGTAGGAAGTCGAAGTTAGGATAATAGTTTTGTAACATATTAATAGCGAAAACACGAACTGAGGATATCGCCTTTTCGAAAGAATCAGTTACACAAGCTTTAGTATAAAACACTCGCAAAAGCCATAGGTTTTTACTAAAACGCCCTGAGTAGTGACCGTTGTGTAGCCTTGGAGCACTCAGAAAAAAACGTTGATATATTAAGTGGACATGTATTGGGAGATCAAGCATCTGGCCTTTCTGGAGGGGGTCCACACGGCTGAAGCATACGCTCCATCAGATTGAATCTGATCCTAGCCTTTGATTCACTTTCACAGAGAGCCAAATAATTAAGAACATCAAAATGGCCAAGGTACGAAGCGCAACTGTCTCTGTGCTGGTTCGTGAGCCACTCCCATTTCAGAGTATCCGCATGGCCAGTGCCTACGCAAAGCTAAAACACAATACGAAATACCTACCCACGTATTTGGACTGTAGATGTTCGAGTTGGGTGTGTATGTTGTACCGATCACCCATTGTATAGGCAATGAACTATGTGTAACTCGGCAAGGGTATTTTGTTGGTTTTTTGGGTTGCCGTTCTTCAATATGATTGGTTGAGTTTACAGCTTAATGATTGGTGGGTTCAATCAGCAGTCTTGGCTTAATGATTGGTGGGAAAAGTGTGCAGTTTTAGTTTGCGCACATCTTGAACATTTTCACGTGAGCTGTCATGGCGTTCAATTCTGCTGTTGATGCGAAGTTCCGAGAAGTTCTCTGTGCTAGACACTTCCAGTCGTTTATGGAGTTGCAAGCAGCCATAAAAGAGTTTAGAAAAGTAAGTGATATCAATGAGAGCTTACTTTTAGGCAACGGCTTCCATTTCAGGACGGGCAGTTCCCATAAATATCCGGTGGAATGCATCT